TTAGCTCAGTGGTTCTGACACCTACCTCGCAAGCACAAGGACCCGAGTTCGATCCCCGGTACCAAAAAAAAAGAATACTATGAATAATGCTATACCAACAAATTAAATAAACTAAATGAAATAGAAAAGTTCCTAGAAACACAAACTACCAAAACTGCAAGTAGAAAGCCAAGTGTCATGGTGCAGCTACTCAGGAAAGTGAGGCAGGGAGACCATTAGTTTAAGACCACCTTAGTAATTAAATATAGAGTTGCAGTTTATGAAATATATTGTTTCCTTCTCAATGAAACTGCTCAATAGTTAGCAGCAAATCATCTTGCAGCTATGCAACTTTTTGAAAATACAATTAGCAATTTTAAGTGCTGCCAGCTACAGTAACTTTCTTTTAACAGGTAGCTTGTTTGTTTGTTTGTCCTTTTCATATACATAATTATTTTGGTGAGCTTTTCATCTCTAGTTCCCATATTAGGTAAAATGTTTAGCAGGTTGTAAACTTAGTAACTTATGAAAAGGGTCAAATAAAAATTTCTGGAGTGGAAAAAAAAAGACCACCTTAGTACAAGAACTCAAGAGCTGTTTGTCTTTTTTTTTTTTTTTTTTTTAAATCAAAAACAGCTACATTGTTCTTTAGTTTACAGCAGTTACAGTAAATATTGTGGGTGTGCTGGGACATGGTGGGACAAAACACCTGGGTGACCTAGCAGGGCCCTGTGGTGCATGTGTGGTTGTCTATGCTGATTCATTGTTATATAATGAAGTCCCATTGTGAGCCTGCACTAACCAGTGGAGGGTTGTATTATAGGTGTCCTCAGACACCTGGGCTTTGCTAATCAGAAGTGGTACCCGTCACTAGGCAATCTCACTTAGCAGCAAGACAAGGCTAAGTTTTACTCAAAACCCACCCTAAAATTTCTGTCTCTGAAACTGACAGGTTAAATTTATACCCATTGCCTAGCAACCACAATTTTTACATGTTAGTAGAGGCATATTTATCAGTTTCCTACATGCACTGAAAGAAGAGAAAGGCTGACTAAAATACCTTTTTTATTCTAGTTAGCATATACAAGACGTAAGTGTAAACTGCCAGCTGATAGCTGTTCTCAGTGAAAGGCAAGCTGTCTCAGCTTGACTTCCTGGAGGGAGGGGTAGATTAGCTACAAGGTGGTTTAGCTAATCAAGATGTTCTAAAGTTAACTCTCAGCAAGTTGGAGAAAAACCTAGTGGAGAGTTCTAACTTACTAGCAGAGAGAAAAGTCTAAACTTGTAGCTCAACTCTTTTTTTTTTTTGGTAGCGGGGATCAAACTCAGGTCCTTGCATTTGCAAGGCAGGCAGCAGAACCACTGAGCTAAATCCCTGGCATGTAGCTCAACTCTTAACGGAGGCTTAAGAGAGGGCTCTAACAGTGTTGGGTCTGGTCACTCTGGGACAGAGGATACCAGAAGGTCACTGAGAGAGTTACCTCTCACCTCACTGAGGAGTGCAGGTGGGGACAATGGGTAAGTGGAGATTTCTGCTGGTCATCCAGTTGAGCTGTCCTGACCCAGCTTCCACTGAAGAATCTTTGGGTATCCGCCAGAGAGTCGAACTGGCCATGACCCTCAGTTGTCCTCTCAGCTTTCACTGGTTCCAACCAGTGATCTATCTCCAGAAAGGAATCCAAGTGTTTGTTAGAGTTCACTAAGGAACAGATAAACGGCTGAGCTGTCTTCATCTAAGATGACTTCCCTGTCTTCAGCATTAACAGTCATTTTCTATGGACTCAATTTAAAGGCTCTTTGGAGGAGAAAGTTGGGACACATTAGGACTCCTTTGTCTCTAATCTTACATGCTTCCAAAAAAAGGAAAATACAAAGTGGCAGGGAAAGATGATCAGAAATGAGATCAGAAAAAGAAAGACTTTCCTTCTCATGCTCATGGTGCATTATTGAGACAATTTGCTCATGAGTCATCACTCTGAACATGGAAAGGGAAGAATGGGGAATCTCAAGAGCTAAGATTGCCTCCTTACCAGTGGAAGATCAGACCGAAAGGAAACTGAGGCAGAGCAGGCTCAACATTCCCTCTAGGGTATTGAGGGGTGATTGGGGCCAGTTTGTCCCCATGAAACCTGTCCCCAAAGTCTTAAGAACAGATGCTGGGCTATTACCTTTTAACTAGCAGATGGGGTCCCATGATTTATTAATATGCATGTATATTTTCTAAATATGAACTAGATTTCATTAAAAGACCCATTTTAGAGCATTTCTTATCAGAGTTTACTAGTGGACACTCTAAAGTTATTTTTGCCTGGCATTGCTGCCTAAGATAACAAACCACAACAAACAGGTCAAACAAGGAACAGTAGGAAGTTCAGCAGCTAAATCCAAATACAACATGTACAAAACAGGAATAAAATGTCCCATCAAAGAAACATCATAATCTTCCCACGTTCTCGATTTAAATTTAAATCATTTTAACAATAGACAACACATAAAAGAGAACTGAGACATAAAAATTCAAGACATAAGCAATTGACAAACAAGGATGACAATTTTCAGTTACCTAAGGGAGTCACAATTCAGAATCTGTGAAACAAAAGCGAACTCTTACCTCCACCCAATTATCTCAGTGGAACCTCCAAATGATCTTGGGATAATGTAGCAACTCCAAAGGATATAAGGGAAATGTTATGACCCCCAACCTGTTAGATGTTTTATACGCCAAGTTTGTGTTCTTTAAAATCAAAGAATGAATTCTAGGAACAATGGAGGTTAAGAGTAGGAAATAATTATTGAGGGAAAGATAACTTCTGTCTAAGAGAGACAGAAGGAGACCCAGAAAGTGGGTTGCTTGGAGTCCACTACAGGGGAGAATTTATAGAGCAAAATGAGGTGGGCATGAAATCATAATGTAAGTATAAGGTGGGACAAAACTATGGTCAACTAATAAGATTATAAGTAGAGATGAAGCAAGTCATGTAGCAAGTGGACATGGAAAGAACAAGGACCTTTCCTGGAGGGGATGGGCTAAGGTCTTGGTCCCCAACCCAGGTGATTAATGCCTATTTAGAATATCAGTTATTATTGTTTATCCCTGGGGAAATAGGAGTAGTCATTTCATCTTTGTCTTGAGACTTAGCCTTCAACAAATGTGCCTCCACTCACAGTTGTAATGTGTTCTCATCTTCTGTGCTGCCTTCTTTGAGGGCCTGTCCCTGTCTGACTGCCTATAATATTTTTATCTAGCTTAGCTGTCTATAATAATACCACATATAGTAGTAGTTTATACAACCAGAATGGTAAGACAAAACATTATTGTTTTGTTTTATTTTATTTGTTTGGTTTGATCCGCCCCCCCAATACTGGGGATCGAACTCAGGACCTTGTGCTTGCAAGGCAGGTATTGTGCCACTGAGCTAAATCCCTGGCCCTTTTTTGTGATTTTTTTGTTTTGTTTTGTTTTGAGATAGAGTATCTCTCTGTACCCCAGGCTGGCCTCAGACTCATGGCAATCCTCCTGCCTCAGCCTCTCAAGTACTGGGATTATAGTTGTTTTGGTTTTTTGAGGCAGGGTCTCACTATGTAGTTCAGGCTGGTCTTGAACTCATTATATAGTTCAGGCTACCCTCCAGCTCACAGCCATCCTCCTGTCTCAGCCTCCCAAAGGCTGGGATTTTTTTTTTTTTTTTTGGTACCAGGAATTGAACTCGGGTCCTTGCACTTGCACAGCAGGCCGCGAAACCACTGAGCTAAATCCCCAGCCCCCAAAGGCTGGGATTATAGGTGTGGGCCACCATGCCTACTTTATATCTCCCATTTATTTTGTTTTGAGACCTTGAGGTTTTTCCACCCTCACACATACACTTAGAGGATGCCCCCTTTTCTTTGTTTTTTAAATTTTTGTTTCTTTGTTTTGTTCTGTCCTGTTTTGTTTGTTTTTTGAGTCAGAGTTTTGCTATATAGTTCAGACTGGCTTTTAACTCACTATGTATCCCAGGCTGGCCTCGAACTCATGGCAATCCTCCTGCCTCAGCCTCTCGAGTGCTGGGATTAGAGGCATGTGACATCACATCTGGCTGGGATGCTACATTCTCTTACACTAAAGTTTGAATCCACAAGCTTGTGAGGATTTTATCTATAGCTAATAATTGAGAAAGAGAAGGGGGGACAATTTTTGACTTTTTAATTAGCCCCCAGCCACCTGACTCCAGCCTGCTAAATGACTAACTTTCTGCCTGACATTTCCTCCCGAGCAGTGGAACCCTAAACTCATTGTGTCATTCTGGCTACTTCCTGCTCAGAGCAGGTGTTCAGGGAAGGAAGTTAAGGTGCCACTCTTGGTGACTTTCAGGTTTGGAGAGTAAGTCAGGGGTCCTACATAGATATGGAGATCAGGACAATGCAGGGTCATCTGGAACCAGGTAGACTATAAGCGGAAAGAAATAAAGATCAGGAGACAGTTTAATATAGAGTCTAAGGCCAGGGATTTAGCTCAGTGGTTCCGGTGCCTGGCTCGCAAGTGCAAGTTCCTGAGTTTGATCCCCAGT